CCTACAAAGACTCATCGAATTCTCTTCGACAAGAAAAGGTACAACAGGAGCTGTAGTCGGTGGTGGTCTGCTAGGTCTGGAAGCCGCGCACGCGATGATGGACCTTGAAGATTTCGCGAAAGTGAAGCTCATTGAGCGGAATCGATGGGTACTATCGAGACAACTGGATGGTGACGCGGGCGGTATGGTCGTCGAACAGGTCCGCGCTTTGGGCTTGGATGTCATGCTAAGCAAGAGAGTGGGCAAGATCTTGACAACCGAGGACAACTTTGTTAAGGGTGTGGTGTTTGAGGATGGTGATGAGATGGAGTGCTCGTGCATTTGCTTCGCGGTGAGTAATATTGGACCGCGAAACAACGAAAAAGACTGACTTTAGCAGATCGGTATCAAATCAAGAGACGAGCTCGCCCGGAAAGCAGGTATCAAATGCGCCGATCGAGGAGGTGGTATCGTGGTCGGCCCTGACCTAGCGACTTCACAACCGGACATCTACGCCGTAGGCGAATGCGCCAGCTGGGAGAACCAGACATTCGGTCTCATCGCTCCTGGTGTCGAGATGGCAGATGTCCTCGCCTTCAACCTCACACAAGCGAAAACCCATGCGCCTCGCAAGTTCAAAGCACCTGATCTCAGCACCAAGTTGAAGCTTCTGGGTGTTGAGGTCGCGAGTTTCGGTGACTTTTTCGCGGATCGTGACGGTCCGAAGAACATGCCTGGACGGCCACGAGCTGAGAAGAAAGATGCCAATGGAGCGACGCCGAGAGATCGAGTTAAGAACCTGACGGACGGACCAGCGCCACCACCGGTCAAGGCTTTGACGTACAAGGACCCATTCCAGCAAGTTTACAAGAAGTATCTGTTTACAATGGACGGAAAGTACCTGTTGGGTGGCATGATGATCGGCGACACGAAAGACTACATCAAGCTGGTGCCCATGGTGAAGAACCAGAAGCAGCTGGAGATGGCGCCAGGTGAGCTTATCGTTGGTGCGCAGAAGGGCGACGACGATGGTTCAGATCTGTAGGTTGCACTGCGCTCATACAAGAATGTTGTACTAACATCACATAGGTCCGGCGACACTCAGATCTGCTCGTGTCACAACGTTACGAAGGACGATGTAGTCAACGCCACCAAGGACGGAACATGCAAGAGCATCGGCGACGTCAAGTCTTGTACCAAAGCCGGCACCGGATGCGGAGGCTGCATGCCGCTTGTGCAGACGATCTTCAACAAGACCATGGCTTCCATGGGCAACGAAGTCAAAAATCACCTCTGCCCGCATTTCGAGTACTCGCGCGCCGATCTCTTCAACATCATCTACGTCAAGGGCCTGAAGGACTTTGCAGCCGTCATGAAAGAGGCTGGAAAAGATCCAAACTCCTTGGGTTGCGAAGCCTGCAAGCCGACCATTGGAAACATCGTCGCTTCTCTGTACAACAAGCATCTACTTGAAGTGAACAACAGGGGTCTACAAGACACCAACGACAGGTTCCTGGCCAACATCCAACGCAACGGCACCTTTTCGGTTGTTCCGCGAGTCTCAGGTGGCGAGATTACCCCGGAGAAGCTCATCGTCATCGGTACCGTCGCGAAGAAGTACAACCTCTACACCAAGATCACCGGTGGTCAACGTATCGACATGTTCGGCGCACGGAAACAAGACCTCCCCGACATATGGCAAGAGCTCATCGATGGCGGAATGGAGTCTGGTCACGCATATGCCAAGTCACTACGAACAGTCAAGTCATGTGTCGGTACTACATGGTGCCGATTCGGCATCGGCGACAGTGTGGGCATGGCCGTGCGTCTAGAAGAGCGCTACAAGTCCATCCGTGGACCCCACAAGATCAAGGGTGGAGTATCCGGCTGCGTACGCGAGTGTGCTGAAGCACAGAACAAGGACTTTGGTCTCATTGCGACTGAGAAGGGCTTCAACATATTCGTGGGTGGCAACGGTGGCGCGAAGCCACGACACTCGGAGCTACTCGCCAAGGACGTGCCACCAGACGACGTAGTTCCCATCCTCGACCGCTACCTCTCTTTCTACATCCGCACAGCCGACAAGCTCCAAAGAACAGCGCGCTGGATGGAGAACCTCCCCGGCGGCATCAAGTACCTCCAAGAAGTCATCCTCGAAGACAAGCTAGGCATCTGCGCAGATCTCGAGAAGCAGATGGAAGACCTTGTCGGCACTTTCTTCTGCGAATGGACCGAAGTACTCAAAGACCCCAAGAAGCGATCCTGGTTCTCCCAATTCGCAAATACGTCCGAAACCATCGTCGACACCATCGAACCGACCCAAGAGCGCGGCCAAGAACGGCCCTCATACTGGCCCAAAGACTCCATCACAGAAGACTTCCGCGGCACAAAATGGACCGAACTATCCTGGCAGCCCCTCGTCAAAGCCGAAGAGTTCAAAGACGCAGACACCGGCGACAGCAAAGCCATCAAGCGCGGCGACACGCAACTCGCCGTCTTCAAAGTCCGCGGCAAATACTACTGCACCCAGCAAATGTGCCCGCACAAGCGCGCCTTCGTCCTCTCCGACGGCCTCATCGGCGACGACCTCGCCAACAACAAACTCTGGGTCAGCTGCCCGTACCACAAGCGCAACTACGAACTCTCCGGCGACAACGCGGGGAAATGCGCAAACGACGAGAGCGTCAACATCGCCGTCTTTCCCATTGAGGAGCGCGGTGATGGGTGGCTGTATGTCAAGTTGCCCAGTGTGGAGGAACTGGATAGTGTGCTTGGTACGAGTAAGTTTAAGATCAAGAAGAGCGAGACGGAAGATCCGTTTGTGGCGCTCGATAAAAAGTTGCAGAGGATGCAGTTGAAGGGACGGAAGGGAATGCAGGTCTCGCATCTTGAGGGTGGGTTGGGGGAGAAGGCGAAGGCCGCGCAGATACTTGCTGGTGGAGAAAGAGGGGCTGGGGGACTGGACTGGTAGTCTTTCGTTGGTATGAGCATATCTTGGGATGGCGTCGTGCTGTTTGTTTGTATATATGATTCCCATCATTGGATTTGTACAAGAATAGGTATATCACTTTTGCGTTCAATAATTTCCTCCTTCATTGCTGGCCTTGAGATTGACTTGTGCGGTCGTGTGATCGCCTCAGCCTCTGCATGATGGCTCCAAGTTCTTTGGTATGATAGCGCTATGGGTTAGGGGTCTCTTGACCCGCCGATGGGTGTTCGATCATGCATGATCATTTAAGTTCGATGCTTCAGTCCTGTTCATAGTGTTGGGCTGTACGTGGCACCTATCGGTGACTTTCAGTATCGACGTAGCTGCTGGTTTTGGGCTAGTCTTCCAACTGTGTGGTTGTCGAGATGATGATGTTTTTACTAAAATAGCTGCAAGCGTTGTTGCCGATCGGATGGTGAGTGTTACACCCGCAGTCATGTGGCACGAGTATGAACGTAGTGGTTGACATGTGATTGTGGTACATGCTCACAGTCAGTTCCTAGAAACTCACTTGCGTTCGTTCCAAATTGGTTGCATGCTTGCTGCTTCATCCCGCCTGGATTTGCAATTCTAAGTGTATTGAGCGTTCAACGAAGTGTTGGAACTTCCCCGCACGGAGTCGCCGTACTTGGGCACACGTGAAGATGATGAACCTGAAACAACGGTGAGGCTGTTGTGATCAAAGTAGGCAAGTATTCATAGCAAGCTGTCTGTGTAGTATATGATGCTCATCGGCTGATCGGCAAAAGTGGGAATGACCATTGGTTCCCCTTTCGAGTATTAGGCATATGTACCTTGCTTAGTCTGTGCAGCGGAGCTGTGATGTCCGGAAAATTAGTCGCAGATGTTATGTTGACGGTCAGACTGGCACGGCGGGAACCGCTGCACAAACGACGGATCTGATACTTGACCAGACAAAACGTGGTTGGGAGCACAAAGCTAAAGTCTGACAGTGAGTCTCAGTGAGATCAGTTGATCGCATTCCCAGTAAGTTCTGTGTCTCACAAAGAGTAGCGCATGACTCCCTCAGCGCAGAATGCCCCGATAATCGCCAGTACCTTTTTACTGTTCCCCCATATCACCCAGGCACCCGGTAGTAGCGGCAGCCCCGTTATGATCATATGGGTGCAGCGACCATTGACCAGTCATATTCTGGCCTCACGTTTGACACAGGTAATCCGCAAGAGTGTCTGCCCATTATCGTATCATAGTTTGCTCCGATGTAGGCACTCCTTCACATGTAGCTCAGCCCATGCTGACCGCCAGTGCTCTCAGCCTTGGACACCGCCTTGACCCAACGCCAGCGTGGCATTCAGGTAACTCGTTTGGGCAAAGAGTAGTGGCTGAGGCTGTTGAGGAAGCTCCCACGCGCCGTTGTCTGCGTCTTTCTCAGTGTTCGCGTGTGAACTAAGCTTTTGTTGAGATCCTGCACTCATCCTAGCCGATCAGATTAAATCGATCAACGTGAACGGCGTTCCTTTGAGTAGATCTAGCTTCGATGGGACGATCGAAGAAACAGGCCGATTGAGCCGACAGGCTGACTGTCGGTCCATTTCAGTGACATATGGTGTCGTATCGGGGCGTAGCACAAAGCACACCGCTGGGTGGATGATAGAAGCAGGGCGCACCGCGCACTCGATTGGGTTTCCATGAACTGGAACAAACCTCCGGTACCAAACGACTGACGTGTCTCTGTTGCCGTCACACTGGACCGAATGGAAAGGGGCTGGTGCTGCCTTAGTGGTTGCTTTCGTCGTCATCGCAAGCAAACATCTCTGTGGCACATCAATCTTGGCGCGAGGGGTGAACAAGGTCCGTAAGCTCGGTCACCCGGCATGCGAGGCAATGACGCTCTCACCGGTACTTTATGCGTATATAGAGACTGGCTTCTGTGTCAGGTACTGTGGCTAGGGGTGTCAACTTCTTTCTCGGCCAGCAGTCAACAGCCAACAATCAAAGCCCCTTCGTCAAGTCGATAGCATTATCTAAGTGCCACTCATCCAGCTTTCCCCAGATCCAAGTGTTCGAAACCATGAGGATCATTTTCAGCGGACGCTACCAAATCCAAATAAATAACGAAATTATATCTGCTTGGTTCCCTCAGGTGGCACACTGGCGCAAGATCGATGGAAATGGCCTCGTATACAATCTCCAATCTCGCATCCAAACTCGTTATGGCATAACGAATCACCAGATTACCAAGACGCTGTACGATTTCCTCAACGAACTTGCACGATACCGAGGTCTTGACGAAGAACAAACGCAAACGTGCGTACTTCAAGTCCTGTTGGCCCAGTTGCGGACGGGCGCCAAGAGTCGCTGGCACACCGACGGTCTCCGAGACTCACGCCACACTTTCATCATCTTAGCGTATCTGGCGTCGGCATACGAGTCTGATCTGCTGGCTGAAACGCTCGCGCAATTCGGCATCGAGGGCATGCGACAGATACAGAAGGAAATACCGAAACACCTCAGGGACTGGCATAAAGCTGCGGAAAAGATTCGAGAGGTCATGGAAGGGACTAGGACGATGGATCTGGAGCCCTTCGCCATCATGCCATACGCTGGCTTTCACCGTGGTCGGTCTCCCCGAGCCTTGCCATGGCCCGGCCACAGGGCGCGGTCACTGCCTGCCATACGACGTCGCCACAGCCCAGATATGAGCCTCGCCATCCCAACGTACCCAAGCTCTGGTTGGGCCTCCCCGATGATGTCGCCCGTCGGATATCCGGGAGGCGATTACTTCGACGAGCTTCAGAACCTCCAGTGGCAGCAAAGCGAGATGGGCATGAAGTTGGACAGTGTTGACGGGAAACTGGATGTTCTACTTGGTGAGTTTGGGTATGGATATTATTGAGCAAGAGTAACGCTTCTCTGGTTTCGACCAGAAGTTGCATTGATCTGTCATTCTGTGATAGCCCGTATGAGGGAAGATTGGATTGACGGAATGGCGAACGTTCGGCTGTCGACATTGACGACCCAATCTGTACCATACGCGAGAGTTGGGCTCATCCAAGAAGTGTAGCGAAACTGAGATGGAGTATGGAAAGGGCTTTTGGCGGGCAGGCTCTACACCCGTCGTGTTTCGAGATATGAATGTGTCTTGGGGTGCTCTAGCGAGGCGTTGCATTTACGGCCTGTTTCCCAAATTACGTAGCTTTCAGATAGTAAGATGAGAGCCTTGCCTGGCATCTCAAGCATATCCCGCCATTCTCACAGCGGTCTGTAAGCCAGATTCCGAGGGAAAAATGGATCGCGTATTCCAGAATCTTATCAAATGAAGTACCGTGCGTTGGATGTTGCTTCCCATTTTACAGATGGGACCTGCTTTTCGTCAATGCGTGCACAAAAACGCGTACGTCGATCCGTACTGTCCTGAGGCGGTGGTACTGAGCTAAGTCAAACCATAGCGTGAGTAGTAATTGGCTAGAATCGTATGAGGCGGCCACGCGCGTTGTCGAAGCAAACTTGTGCGACTGTTCAACGTATTCGTCTGTTTGTCGATCGATCGGGAGGGCTGACGGTAGACCTAGTGGTCAACACCGTTGAGCATATAATGATGCCAGCGGCCTGTCGAGCGAAATCTTTTCGGCCTTCTGTACCACCACCCTTTCCTCCCAATACAACATCGACATCGTTCGCGCAAGATTGCGTTCTTTCCGAAAAACAATTGTTGGTCCATGTGGGATACTGTGACGATAAGACTCGCTGCCGATGTAGTTCTCCACCCCAGTCTGAGCGGATTGCAAAAGTGGCTTCCAGATGTCGCTCGCAACCTGGGATTTGCCAGAACATTCGACAGCCGGCGCCTGATATCACAGATGGCGGAGACTTTCTCCAAGAAACTGCAGTACCCCGTCACATCCGACACTATCGTCACAGCTCTTGGGGAGTTCATTGGATACCTTGCACCGAAGTCCAATTTCGCCGCTTCGACCGGAACACGCCTAGATGAGCATATGAAGGACTGTCTCCGGAAAGACTTGGGCGTCATGGAAACCTCGGACCTTCGTCGCAGCAGGCACCGGTTTCTTATATTTTGCGTAGTCGCTCAGGCCACTCGATCGCAGGCATTGGCCGCGTCCATGGTGGGTGTCCTGCAAGGTCACCTACACGAAGTCGTGTACGATGAGCAGCCTGGAATGCGGAGGGAGTGGTACATGGGCCTCAGTGCATTGGAAGGCTTGGTATCCGAGCGAGTCCTGGAGCAGCTGTTACGCTGTTTCTCAGGTGCTGTCGGCCGATCATACGAGATGAGGCGGCAGCCAGCATGCTACGACCCATGCGCTGCGCTGATGATGAAACGGCAGCACTATCCGTTCTTCGGTTATCAAGGTGGGATAATGCCACCGAGGCTCGAAGACCCAAGAGACAGATGGCTATCTGTTGGCCGTCGTCATCGGCATCGATATCGTCAACACCATCCTCGAAATGCATACCCATGAATCCAGCGGAATGGATATTTTGATGATGTCGGAAGGCTGCAGTATCAGCAGGAAAGAATATACTCGAAGCTCAATCATATTGGCCGGAAGCTCGAGGACTTGTAGTGAAGCTCGAGTAACCATAGTTGGCAGGGGAAATGGACTTTGACGAGCGATTCAATGATATGGCCGAACTGTGTACACATGCTTGATTGTTTTCTTGCCGAATCGTATCAGATTTACTAATCCGTACCTGTAACGATTAGTTGGCCTCGAAGTAGCATGAGGTCTATTACAAACTTACTGCTATATCATCATGCTGCGCGAAACATCACACCCATTCTCCTCTGAATATACACTATGCTCCATGCGCCTCGCTAATTCAAATGATGTCCCCTGAATGTCTAGGAAACCGTCCTGTCCACGATCCAATTGGTGTAGCTATGCCATCACCTCAAGTAGTGAATAACCAGCCAGCAGAACAGGAAGAAGACGACGACTCCACCCCAAAATATCCACTTGTCTTGTTTCGCTCTCCTTTCAACCATGCGTATCGTGTCGCCACTAATACCCAAGGTATTCGCGACAGTATATAGCCGCCTCTGTGTCCCTTTGAGCATTTCCCTCTGTTGACCCAGATCGCCGAGGACCGTCCGTCCTCTGTCTAAGAACTCATCCAACTGCTCCGACGTCTTGTTGAAAAAGGTGTTTTCCCTCAGCACATGGCCCTCGCGGTCGTAGTCGCCACCCGCTGGTGCGCCAGCAGAATAGGGGTTCGGTCGGTAGGGAGCGTTGGGGTTGTAGGGTTGGGAAGGTGCGAACGCCGAATGTTGGGCAGATAGGTTAGGTTGTGCATAGGGGTTTTCGGGGGTTGCTGTGTTGTGCGGACGACGGCCTAGCAGTTCTGTTCGTGCCTCTGTGGTTTGCTGTTCCTAGTCAGCAAAGGCATTCGCAATGACAAAACGATAGTCTTAGTGTCGGTTCGAAACGTACAATTTCCTCGTTTACACCTTTTATGCGCTTGAAGTTTGTCCGGTACTCTTCGAGTTCAGCCCGGAAGTTCTTTAACCTCTCATGTGCCTTTTCTGCTTTGGTTTGCACAGGCTCTTGCTTTGCAAGCTTGCCATAGTCGTCGATGGTGCGCGCAAAGGTGGCTAGGGACGCGTTTAGTTGGGCTTGGAGATGTGGTGATGGCGAGGCTGAGTCGGCAAACTGGTCCAAGTCTTTTCGTATCGATGTCGATTGCCGTAAGGCGTTGTTGAAGAGCGCGTTCTGTTTGCGACGTAAGTTTGTGTTGAGCAATATGAGTAGATGAGGCGTACCATCGCGGAGTATCAGGGTTTTCGTCGGTTTGAAGTGGACGAATTACTTCAGTATAGATCGGAGATGTAGTGTGAGGGCTGTTACGGTGAACGTTATACTGTAGCCTTGTAGGCAGACTTTCGCGACTTGACACATTGCATCATCGCGAACTCCGACTGCTGGACCCTGAGTTGCCAAGCTTTTAGCGCATCAGCGCTAGCAGCGTCGTAGGATTCCCTCCAGTTCACTCTCCATGGTATGACATCTGGGTACTCTACCACGATGCATATAAACTTGCAGCTTGCCCTTACAGCTTCGTGCAAAGCTGCCGATACTCATGTCCGATGCAGACAGCAGATCCTGGACGGAGTCTGAACCGCCTGGACTACGGTACCCCCGCCCTGGATTCCTGGACGACATCGCGACTACCTCTATAAGTGGCCAACCACAGGACATGAAGATCCAACGTCCTTGGACTTGATCAGTAATTGCGGTCTGCGATCCTTATGTTACCCAGCCATGCAGGCTGCGGTGACAGTATGCCCGCACAAGCCACAGTCGTCAGTTCCGCCTAGTGGTTATTCTCCGTTCTACCCTTAGTCATTGCATTGCGCCCTCCTCCTTATCGGCGTTCATCTGGCCTTGTCAAGCCTTCAATCATCTGTGGTTGACGTCGTTCTTCCTTCTCCACCTGCCTAATTCGGTAATCTCCTACCCTGTCGGCAAGTAGCAGGGCTGGGTATTTACGCTTGCCGAGCCGCGGAACAGGTGCATCTCGAGAAGAGATCGCAGAAAATGATGATGGGCACCCACTGCAGACCCAGTGTGCTAACTGGCATGGGAAGTTCGTTGTAGACCACTTCCGATATGCGGATCCATGCCATAATGTGCCGTCTCGCACATTGGGCGACGGCCCATCTCCATTTTCGATATAAGAAGCCAATTTGCGAGCTTTGTGTCGGATGGCCATCTCTTCATCGCAGTCATTATGTTTCTCCGATCAGCACTATTCGGAAGTGCGCTGCTCTCCAACGCCTACGCGCACGAGGTTCTTTTCGGTCGCGATCTCCCACTACCGGTGGCTGCCAACGCGGAGTCATATACCGACTGTGCCAATGCAGCATGGCCTCCGTCCAATGTCGGCGTGGAGCTGATTCCGCAAGCACCAGACGATGAGATGCGAGCTATCGTGAATGAAATCAGTTCAGCAAACATCGAGGCTACGATCACCAAACTGGTATCGTTCGGAACCCGCCATACCCTTGCCACATACAACAGCTCGACGCGCGGAGTAGATGCAGCGAGGGATTGGGTAGCCTCCGAGATGCGAAAATATGCTGCGGACAGCAACGGCACGATGACGGTCGAGGTGCAAAGCTATTTGCAAGGAATAGCCAGCAGAATCCCCTTTCCCGTGTACATATCGAATGTGCTTGCGACTGCCAAGGGAAGTGAGACTCCCGACAGGGTATATGTCATGACCGGACATATTGACAGTCGGGTCACTGACGTGCTCAACTACGATGCCGACTCTCCCGGTGCCAACGACGACGCGAGTGGAGTTGCTAGTATGTGTTTCTTGGAAAGATTATTACAGGATCAAAGCTGACTTATACAAGTTGCGATGGAGATTGCGCGTGTTCTTGCCAAGCATCAGCCCAAGTCAACAATAATCCTCGGTGCTGTATCTGGCGAAGAGCAGGGTCTATATGGCTCAACCTATCTGGCACAAACACTTAAGAACTCTAGCACGAATGTCGAAGGCATGCTGAACTGCGACATTGTCGGTTCCTCAACTGGAGATCGCGGTCAGAAAGACCCCTACACCATTCGCGCTTTCGCTCAAGGTGTTCCGCCTCTTTCGGCCGAAAACAACGTCACAGCAGCGCGACGCCTCCAAATCGGTGGCGAAAACGATAGCCCTGCACGAGAGCTTGCGCGCTTCTCAGCTGAAGTCGCTGCCAACAATGCCACCGGTATGAACGTAGCCATCATCTACCGCCTGGACCGCTTTTTGCGTGGAGGTGACCACACTGGATTCCTTCAAGCGGGTTACCCTGCTATCCGCTATACGGAGCCTAACGAGAACTTCGCTCATCAGCATCAAGACTTGCGCACCGAGAACGGCACCGTCTATGGCGACCTAATTGAGTTCGTCGACTTTGACTTCACAGCACGTGTTGGCAAGGTCAATCTCGCCACGCTTTGGTCCCTCTCACAGGCTCCTGGCATGCCACGCAACGTCACCATCGACACGACAGTTCTGGACAACGACTCGCGCATCAAATGGATTGTTTCCAATAGCACAGATGTCGCGAGCTACGAAATCGTGTGGCGAGCCACTACAGCGAGCCTGTGGACTCGCATGCTCGATGTTGGCAAAGTTGGATCAGTTGTCCTTCCTCTCAGCAAGGACAATGTCATATTCGGTGTGAGGGCCGTCGGTACGAACGGGTACAAGAGTCCGGCTGTCTATCCTTTCCCTGGATAAAGCATTGATCCATGGAATGACGCAGGCCCGGGTTCTCCAACGAACCAGAACTGCCAAATTTACAGTATACTTAACTCGTTGTACGTATCAATGTATGTGTCTAGCGAGTCTGCGAAAGATCTGGGTTTTCTGCATATGAATGTGTTCCCACACAGGTCCTCGCAAGCATTTCCGCTTTCGGTATGGTAGTGCCAAGCGTGACCGGGTGTTGCAGTATGGTGACTGATTCCGAGTGCAAGACACGGGCAACGTACGGAACCTATAAGTAACTTCTCATATTTGTTCACCGTTCGTCAGAAGTCGAACTTCATCGTCCCGCGCGGCTCGTTGTTTTGCTCGGTGTTCGTAGCCATGTCGTCTACTCACACCATAACACAGACAGATGCAAGCGCCAATCGACTTCCAGGTAATGCGCTACAGGCGAGTATCGAACTGCGACATGTAGCACCGGCGACGTTACGCGACCAAGGATGTAAACACAATGACCGAAAAAGCAGCGGCATCGAGTCAGCCACATTCCTTCCCCAACCATCAACGACAGTATCAGTAACTGAGCGATGGAACCATCCAAAGGCCAATGTATCCCGCACATTCGCTGTTCTCTTCGCGTTCATTATCATGGGCGCAAATGATGCCGCATACGGTGTAAGCAATACAATCCTTTCGTATACAAGGACACTATTGACGTTACGCAGGCTATCATTCCTTACCTTGAGGAGTACTACGATCTAACATATGTTGTCGTCTCGCTAGTGTTCCTATCTCCGATGGGCGGATATATCAGTGCTGCACTTCTCAACAACTGGCTGCACATCCACTTTGGTCAACGGGGCATTGCTTTCCTTGGACCTGTTTGCCATCTAGTGGCCTACGTAGGCATTGCCCTCCATCCGCCATACCCCGTTTTGGTGATCTTGTTCATCTTCTCGGGATTTGGAAACGGCATTGAAGACGCAGCCTGGAACGCGTGGGCAGGCAGTCTAGCGAATGCGAACGAGGTTCTGGGATCTGTGCATGGGCTATATGGGCTGGGGGCTTTGCTTAGCCCGCTAGCTGCTGCTAGCTTGATTGCGAAGCGTGGATGGCAATGGTATCAGTTCTACTACATCATGGTCAGTCGCCAAGGACACTCAATACATTGTTGCTAACCTTAAATAGCTCGGTGGCGCCTGCATTGAGCTTGCGACATCGCTTTACGCATTCCGATCGAGTTCAGGTCAAGTGTATCGAGAAAAATCGCTTCGCGCGAATGCGGAAGGTGAGAGCCGTCTTAAGCAGGCACTCAGAAGTCGCGTCACCTGGACTGCCGCTGTCTTCCTTTTCGGGTATGTCGGAGCCGGTGGAGCGCTTGGAGGCTGGATTGTTACCTTCATGCGCCGGGAAAGAGCAGGTGGCGAATTCGAATCTGGCATTGTCGCGACCGGATTCTGGACTGGCATCGCTGCCGGCCGCCTTGTCTTGAGCTTCATCACACCAAAGCTTGGCGAGAAGCTCGCTGTCCTGGTACGGTCAAGATCGGAATGGAACCTGCATAAGCTAATTGCACGACAGATATACATTGTTATCGCCATCACATGCCAACTCATGTTCTGGCTCGTTCCATCCTTCCACGTCTCAGCCATCTTTGTCGCACTACAAGGCTTCTTCCTCGGTCCGCTCTTTCCAGCTGTCATCGTCGCAGCGACTAAAGCTCTTCCGCCACATCTCCATGTCTCTGCGATAGGCTTTGCTGCTGCGATAGGTGTTGGCGGAGGTGCTGCGTTACCCTTTGCTATCGGATCGCTTGCTCAAACAAAAGGCCTTGGTGTCCTACAACCTATCATTCTGGCTGTTCTCGCAGCTCTCTTGGTTCTGTGGCTGTGCTTTCCGAAATTGGAAAAGAGAAAGACGGAAGGAGGGGTGCCACTGCTCTCCCCAGAAGAGCAAAGAAAATGGTGGCTCAACGTCGATATTGATCTTGTAGAGATCATGAGACGTGTGCTGACGAGGGATTCGAGTGGCCAGATGGTCGCAACTGCCTAGGAACGTTAGCACGTGGTGTTTAGGTATACCTTAGCCCCCTGAAGGGCTCTTTCCACTCCCACCCGCGCTAGTTTCATTGTGGTGTCAACAAACCGACCCTCACCCTGCCTTCTCTCACCACCTTCGAATTTATGTCTTCGCAGTCGACATCATGTCCTCCAACTCACCCGAGGCTTCATCATGCTCCATCACAGACAAATTGCGCTCTCTGAGGGCTGAAGTGGATGAGCTCGCTAAGACCCTCGCTTCCGATTCGGACTCCTCCACAGAGACGCTTGTCGGAGATACACCATCAACACAGAGTGCGGACACTTCCACGGGAGCTGAGACAAAGCCAAGTACGCCATCAACATCGACCAACGACGCCAACCAGAATGAGACTCGCGAAGGACACCCGTCCAATTCTGACGACACCGATATCGTGTATCATCCCCATCTCCGCGACGTGAACAGCATTCCCGACCTTACTTTCACCTTGACGGAACTCGTAGATATTCCCAACGACATCATCAAACAGTACTACGGCGATCGCATTCACTTCTCGAAATGGTACGCTGGCCAACCCTATACAATGGCCTGGTGTATCAAAGCGGATGATGTACTCGATCCTATCGCTATTGTCATTCGATGGCCCAACGACTCAAGTCTTGATATCGTGAAAAAGGACAACGACGGCGACAGCATTGCCCACGTGTCAAGACACCAAGAACGGACCAACACTCTGGGGACGGCAGCCGCCAACATTCGTCTGAAATTCGGATGTGATCGGATTGGCTTCTACGACGGTGTGCATCTGATTTTGTTCGTATTCAGCGATAAACCCCGGTCAGGTGTCACCCTATTCGTGGGATGGTCGGATGAAATTCGCTACAAGCTCATTATGTGGCTAGGGGAGGCGATCCGAAACACAAACGTGCAGATGTTGAAACCGCTTGTGGGATACGCGCTTGAGGACTCGAATCTGGAGGCCGCGGCTCTGGAGCCTCCGCCGCAACGTTTCCTACATGACAAACATATTGACAATAGCGAGGTAAGCAGCGCGCTACTCACGTTCAGCGCCCAGTACGGTGGCTGTGCATTCAAAATCTACACAACCCCTGATGGCAACCTCGTCAAAGTGGGAGACAGCCCACTCCATACTGTCGACGATTCCGCAATCGCCACACCGGAAGGCGTCCTCAAATCCTCACAACTCACTTTGATCGACTTTCTGGTCATTGCCGGTAAGGACCACTCTCCGGCCCTCAAACACAGCTACGATATTGTTCCCGACGCCATCACCTGGTATGTGCGCAAGACCGGCGAACGCAACGCGAAGGAGCTCGTTGGTATAGTTCAGTTTGCTCCTGCCGGCACGATCGTACCCGGCGATTGGGGTCTCCGGAAGCCGGACCTTACGTTCACGAATGGCGAAGGTATCGTGCGCACGGCGAAGCCCCTTCTGGAAGCCATGTTGTCATTTGGACAGAAGCGGGAGTGTTATTGCTTGGCATTATTCGACTATCACAACGTCGTCTTTGTGACGCGTTGTAAGGGAACGAAGGTGAATGCAAGCATAGCGTTGATTAGTGGGGAGAGGATTCGCGGCGGGTTCCTGCAGTGGCTGATACGAGCATTGCAAATTGTCGACTATCATTGCGACGCAGTTGAGTGAGTCAGACTTTCTAGCGCTGAGATGGATGCGCTGAATAGCTTACATTACGGAATTCTAAACCTTCCATGTCGCATGAAAACATTTGAGTCTTAACAAGTAAGTCGTTACTAAGACGACGTATACTGCAACTTTGATAACATCCCAAGGATGCGACACGAACTCTAGCCAACCCTGGTGTCGTAAATGCGTTCATAGAGTTATTCTCCCCCATCGAAAGACGCACTTTCCCAGTTCGTCAAACCTTCATAAGACCTCCAGGAAGCTCAGCTAACCCTAGAGCGAGTAGTTAGTCAAGCAGAATTCGTAAAATAATACTGCACAACTTACAACCATCAACGTCCTCATCAACAGTCCGCGGAATAGTACACTTCATCGCCTCTTCAGTAGTCTGCGAGTCCAACACCGAACACACATCACCCGTACAGCGCGCATTCATAGCACGCTGGAGTGAGTCGTCCTTCCAGCCAAACACGTAGTCTCCATGCTGCGAGAACCCATTCCTGTATTGGCAACCCGTTAGACTCGATCAACGTTCGAGGAGGAGAAACATGAACTCACCTATCACCGGTACTAAGCACAAAAGGCTGACTCCCATCCTCTGGCCACAAACCCTCATCGTTGAACTCCCTCGTATCCCACATAACCTCATACATGACCTGCGGTATAGCCACAGGATGTGACTCAGGACACGTCCCCGTAGGCCCGACATCGTAATCGCCCGCCCCATCCGCATACGCCACATGACTCTGATGATCCGGAGAATCCAAATTAACGCCATCCCAACAAGTTGGAAAAGTGATAACAGAGCGAATACCGCCCGGACAGAAACCCGTGGGCAGTGTCTGTGCATCCGGTGCCGCGCAGTTAAGATTCATGTTATCACCCGTCTCCAGCATACACCTATAACACACTTTCCGTGCCTCCGATTTCTCCGTCGCCGTCGCATCCCCAACCAACATGCGAAACCCCGGTCTAAAAGCCGTAACACCAGTCTGATTCTTCGTATCAGGTGTATAATACACCGTTATCCCCGCCGCGCCCTTCAGCCCCTCACTAACAGACTGCGGCACCCTTTTATACGTGCCATTGCGAGCGCGGAAGTACAAGACGGCGGTCCAGTAGTTTGAGAAGTCTTCTGAGAAAGTGCAGCTTGTGCATGTGGAGGCGGTGACGAGGTCGTGCGAGGGGGGCATGGAGGCTGTGAAGGAGTTTCCGCCGACGATTTGGTGGAGGTGGGGGGAGGGGATTAGGGAGGGGGTGACGAGGGGGTCGAGGCGCTCGACGACGAGTTGGGAGCATTGGAAGCGGAGCATGGGGGGGATGGTTATGTTGAAGAAGGGGGGTTGGGCGGAGATATGGCGGGCGAGGAGGAGGAGCGGGAGGAGGGTTGGTCGCATGGTTGTGGGATTGAGAGGTGGTGTTGGAAATGAAGATGGGAATGATGAGATGTCAAGAATATACACGACGTGAGCATACAGAAAATGTAGACTCTAGATATCTGCTTTCCGTCCTTGCCTGCCGTCTCTCGCACCAGACCCACGATCACATGTTGTTGAGTGAACAGCCAATATCGGTGTGATGGCTGCGGGGCCCGGGAGTCACTCCCTCGGGTCCTGACCAGATGTCGTACGACTTCATTTTAGCCTTTGAGAACTCTGGCAGTACCGTACTCGACGATCACTGCGATACGCATGTGGGGCTTTGACTTTATATGAGAAGTAAATTGCTATTGCTGCAAACCCATGTAGGCAGCTGCATGCCAAGGGCATCCTCCAAATCCTTCTCACTGATCTCGAGGCCGAATTGTAAAGGACCAAAAGAACACTCGTTCGAAAGAAGGTATCTTATCGCCAGTCTAAAACCTACATAGCTGCAAAACCTTGAAAATAAAGATGCTATGTACTAGCGAGAAGGTATACAGTACTTTTGGGGCGACTAGCTGTCGATCGGCAACGTCGACGTATACAGCACGTGATATCGTTCTCTCCTCCACAGGCGGCTCCTTGTAATCATGTATTCGTTATATCCTCAAAGTCGAATGAGACGCCAACTGAAGTGTATGACGGCGGTTCTTCGTATCGAGGAAGCGTCACAGTCGACTCTTGAGTGAGAGAGGTGGTTCGGTTTCGTAGACGCACGCTCGTTTGAGATGATGCGTGAATCGCTTTCGGGGTATCTAAGGTCGTTATCATATTCAGTGCGGCATGATTTGTAGTCTAGGTAAATCGAAGGATCGATCTCTTATCTGCTTGCAGAGTCGAGATGGAGTGAGTTTCAGGAGAGAAGCGTATTCCGTGGAGATAGCTCATTTGCCAGCTTCCTTCATCGTGATAGCCAGACCGGAGGCAGTACTTGACATGCTGCTACCACTGCCACTTTTCCTTCTGTTGTGTTGTTTGGCAGTCTCGGAGTCGGCGCTACCACGCCGACTATTTGAGGTGGGCTGCACAGGGAAGTAGCCAGGTCCATCCTCGACGGCAGAGCGTACTGGTGTCCTTGCCCTGCTCTGCACCGGGCTCATGCGAAACGCTTCTGATCCAGCACTCCACCTCTGGCCCGGGCTTGCACCGCCTGTCAAACTCCGCGCATGCCTCCGAGTAGGCGTCTCCGCAGGCAATTGGAGCCGTGAGTTGATGCCCATCCACAGCGCCTCTTCGTCGTCGTCACCCGGCACTCTCCACCCTCCCACGCCTTCAAAGTCACGCGTCAATTCGCTTGTACCAATGAGCGCCGTGAGAGAGTTGTTCTTATGTTTCAGGAGACGTGACGTATGCGCCGAGTGTAGAGCTGCATCTTGCGAAGATGTCGTGCTAGCCGTGCTTGTTCGACGATGGCGCTGCCCAGTCGGGGAGTGTCGGGCGGACGAAGGTATAAGAGGAGCCTGAAGCGGAACTGGCTTCGAAGCCGACGGAGAGAGCCATGCGCCTATGATTGCAATGGCGAGACGGCAATATACGGTTAATGCGCGAAAGGAAAGGAGCGATACGGCGATTGAGGTGGTGACGACGGCGAAGAAGGCGAGCGGGATAGAGACGGAGAGCAGGATAAAGGGCGTGACGGCATAGACGGGGTTCCACAGGCTGAGCTCAAGGCTGGATGAGCCCAGTCGAAGGAACATGATGGCGACCCGTGGTGGAGAAGGAAGGAACGATGACGGGTGTTCGCATGTGAAAGTTGCGGGGAAGCGCCAAGGTCAACCAGACGCGACCTCTCCACCCGTTCTCTGCGGAGCATCAACAGCGAGCCTCTCCGCTCAATTCCCGCTGAATCGCCTTGCTGTCGTCCGCGCAGGTGTGATGCCAATCCCGATTAGCACGGCACTGAGCGATGTGCCCTTGAAGATGCTCTCGTACTGCTCGATCTTCAGACGGGTCGAGTAGGGCTGACGCTTGATGCGGAGGAATGTCGCGCCCGTGACGGCCAGCCAGGCGCCGAAGAGAATTTCGTAACGGTACTTCTCCACCGCAGTTTCCGAGGCGTTACCAGACATGATACTGATGCGATCGGTCAAAAACAAAGGTGGAAGAAGCGATGAAGGTTGCGGGATCGGGCGGCAGAGGCCTTGATAATATGGAGGATTTCATGACGTCGTTGGTTGGCTCATCATCACGCGCTCGCCACCGCTACTTGCATCCATCACACCACGCCTCAGACCGCTGCCATACGACGGGAAAACATCGTGAACAATGTTGTCCACTCGTTCTCCATCATTGCTTTTGCACATAGGTTACTACCACCCAACCATTGTAGACTTACTAGCGCCTAGATACTGATTGGATCGCTTTGTCCATGCACGAAATTCCTCTTTGTCTCGACCTTATCACGGAATCGCTCACCGCAATTTCATTCTGACAGTACATCACCCAATATCTCAGCCTCATTTCAGGCTCACAATCTACCGAAACTGAAGCGCATATCATGTCGACGCGAAATGTTTGGAAGATCGAGCGCAGGTCCTTGATAATTGTTCCGATTACCATTGCCGTGATTCTCGTCATTGCATTCTCGCTTTCACGAAAGCTAATACGAACCTTGTTCGGTCGTTCCAAGAAATCAATACTTCCGGTAACTAACACACCGCCACGCAAGACACCTTTCCAGCACCATCTCCGGGCTTTGCGCAAGTGGTGGAAGCCTGCAGTCTCTTCTGTCACTAGCTCGCCTCAGCCTCACGACCGCCTCACTCATCTAGGATGGTTCCAGCGTTACAATGCCGAGAAAAATCTGCTCGGGGAAGAGCGTCGCAAGGAGATGCAAAGAGGATGGAAGCCGAGAGTGTTCATTCAAGATTATAGAGCCCACTGGAAGCGGATTGCCAAAGAGAAGAAGAAAGCTCGACAAACGCAGTGGGAGAAATTCAAAGACGAAGTAGGATTTTGAGTACGTATCGATGCAACAGGCCATTACTTCTCAGCATCAATCTCGCCATTAGTACGTTTTGTACATCGTCTTTGTATGCAATGTGATCTGCGGTGATACAACTGGGCGAAGCGCACTGACGGCTTTGTCACCTGCAACTTCTTCAAACAAAGACGATACACGGCCATGCTCTTGGTTGTTATAGAATCCTGCTCTACTCTGGAAGACCATAATCACAATTCCAAATGTCATCTGCTTTACCAAAAGATGGCTACATCAAGTTTCACCTCACATATCCAAGAAGCCGATTTGGCTGATGCATCCGCTCAAGCGTCAGTCGAAGAATTGCAACCTCAAGGCATCTCCAACCAGTCGATCATCATTATAGTTTCCATACTAGGCTCTGCAACTATCTTAGCTATTGTCATCGGAGTCATAAGCTACTTTCGACATCGACGTCGGAGAAAGGCCAATGAAGAACGCCAGCGGGAGATCGAACGGAGTTTGCAACGGGCTCGACGACCCGTCCTCACTTTAGACACGGACATACCAATTGCAACTCAGTATAGGAGGTCCACTGGTCGAATCGGTTAGACACTGCCGTACTCCCAGAAGTTATTTGGGCTCGCAATGTGGCCAAGAGGCAATCACTGTGCGGTTACATCTCCAGACGTTCAACACACGGTCGCTCCAGCTTATCAACATGAATTCTATCTCAATGCTTCATCTCAACCCACCAAAACCCCTCGAGCTATCATATTCACAAACGTTACCCCGGCCAACACTCATGACACTGACCCACAACCAAATCGGTGCCATAGTGTCGAGCTGCGCAGGCGCTGTCTTGATAACCATCTTCCTAATTCTTATCTTCGTCCACCCGGTCCGACTTTACACTTTCTCGCGACGCAAGTCTCCCCGTTCCAACCCAGTATTCACTACCGCAGACGTAGAATCCCAACGTCTCTCCATACCGGACCCTCGCTTCTCCCTCCTCAGCCACTTCGAAACCATTGGTAACCTAGTCATACCTCCGTACCATCGTCCTCTTCCTTCAGCACTAGACATTATCAACCATGTAGCAATAGCTATTGTTTTACCTGCGGGTACAAAGCCTGCGGGCTTGGAACGTGAAACGGACGTCGAAGTAGAAGAAAAAGAAGCATGGACGACTATTGAGCGTCAAGACTCGCTTGCCATGCGTGAGAGTGCTGCTCAAGAAAGGAAGGCGATGTCTGAGAATCATATGGAGCAATTGGAGAAGCTGCAGAATATGTTTGTTATTGGTGATGGGGAAGAGGATGAGGATTGGGATGATGCTGATGCTGATTCAGTAGATCATGACTCGGAGGTGACTCATGGGTTTGGGTCGGGTAAGGGTATGCGTGCGCTGTATCATGCGAGGCAAGATGAGTGATATGATATAAAGTACCAGCTGTTGTTATAGGAATGCGAGATCACTTCATACCATGCAATCAGTCGCAGAAAGATTCCAGGAGTCATTGCAGGAAATTGTTTTGCGTCTGGTAAGGAGTGTGAGCTCTACAGTACATTGAGTATCAATCGAACCCTAGTCCATCCTTGGTTATTGCGCCTAAGTCCTTCAGATCCGTACCATACCGGAGAAGCTTCTCTTTCATCTTCACCAAGCTGGGGTAGAGCAGGCGAAGTCCTTAACTTCCGTCGTCGCAGTCTTAACCTTTGTTGCTCCGACCTTGGCATCATTACAAGTAGCTGTAGCAGTTGCGTCAGGAGGGGTAGTGCTGCAGTACACTGTGCTTGTCTCATAAATTGTCTTGACGTAAACAGCCTGTTTGAACGTGTTAGCATATATCACATTGCTTGCGAGAGAAAACACGTACCGAAGTTTTGACTTCCTCGTATTTCGTGACCTCCACACACTGGCACTCGGTCTTGAAGACAAAGTACTTTGCGCAGTTGCCGCTGTTTTTGGGATCAATGCAGTCTCCGTTTGCGTAGCCAGTCTCGCTGGCTGATCCTGTCTTGGGGATGAAGGCGGCATGAATACCAATGTACAGATCCAAGCCACACGCCCGCCAAGTGTCAAGGATGGGGATGGTGCAGGTGCCAGATTTTGTGCAGTAGCCATTGTCGAGCTTGTATGGCCACTGCCCGGGGGCTGTGATGTCGAACCTGGTTGGCCGAATGATGACGTGGAGATCTCCATAGCTTCCCCCGACTGAGGAAAGGTCAGGGTAGGTGACGGTTAGGGAGTCGCCGGCAAATGATACGCAGACGTCACCACCCACTGGAGTGCGCTTGGCTCCGTAGACAAAAGGCTTGCATATCTTGCCGGATAGATCACGGGCTAGTAGGCCATTGAAGGAGCGAGTGTCGAGCCCGGAGAATGGGGATGCTTGGACAGAGGTGATGGCCACGGCGGCCGTGAGAAGAGCGGAGGTGAAAGTGAATAGAGACATTCTGCTTCGAAGTTGGTTGATCTTGGAGATTGAAGTGTGTGACTTGGTGTTGCAGTTGAAGCTGATGGAGATACATTTCGGTGATCTGAGCCCTTCTTATACAGTTCTGTATTTCAAATGCTGGAGGTACAATTCAATGTCTTTCGTGTGCAGCATGCTAGGGTCTACGAGGTCCGATAGTAGCCTCTCCAGTGAGAAGCAAGAGGTGTATCCCGGCAGTGAAGCCATGATGTTGCGGCTCAGGCCATGGCGTTGTCCAGACCGATACGCTGGCATGGAGCTGAACCAAGCTTTTCTAGAAAAGATTCTCCTGACCTAAGCCACTTCTATCATGACTTGGTAGTTACGTTATGATGAAGCTGAAGGTTTGAGAAGCATTTCGACTGCGTTTTCCGGCCTTGGAAAGAGATGAAGAGACTCAATGTGTATCTACCTCTTCATGGAGAGACGAACAGGTATGCAGATAACACGAGACCTCCTCGGAGCCTCCATTGAACTTATGACGGCATCCCAGACAGCAACATGGCCCTTGAATATCTCTTGGCTATTTGCATTTCTTCCGCGTCATTTGCCTAGGCTTCACTGCCGCTCTTGGCAAAGCCTCTCCACCAGAAGCTGAGTCAACAGCGGCAGCGAAGCGGCAGCGAAAGATGGCCACAAGTGATGCCTCACACCTGTGAACGACATCAGCGTGGCAAGTACCGCCTGTGCTTGGCCAAAGCTCTGGCCCACTCGGAGACGGCATACCGTCCAGCAGTGGAGTCCTAGTTTGAAAGTCGACAGTGGCGAGGATGATATGTGGACGAGTGAAGCTTTCAAGAAGTGAGCTGAGATGTGAAGTAAGCTTGGCAATAGTCATAGCCCACGTTGATTTTTGGGAGAGGGCGGGGAAAAGGACCGCTACATTGGGTAGTGCATGCTTGTGGCGTTGACAGTTGCGGTAACTGTCGCGCTACAACTCCGCGGCGGGAAGGCAGATCACCCGCACTGAGGACTTTGGCTGTCTGCAGAGTACGAATCACAATCGTGCAGTGACAGATCAGACACAGAAGCGGCCGATGAGTATCGACAGAAAGGAAATTGGGCCTAGAACAAACAAGCCATCTCTCCGGTTCGTGTACCCGCGCCAGAGGCGTACAGTGGGCGGGGCGATCGAGAACGCTCTGAACAGCTCGGATCGCTGGAGAAAAGACAGATGTGATAGATCGTAGGTGCACTGCATCTCTAGGCGATAGAGATGGCTGTCTATTTACGTGTTGTGGAATGGAAGCAGAACGTGGGAAGGCGCGGCGTCTTAGCGTCGATGAGCCGACATCTGGACGTGCGCTTAGTCAGCTGCTGCTCAACACGAGACGCGTGACGCGTGTGTTCCTTCCATCTTCACCCGTCCAGTCCACATCCATAACCTCTTTCAACCATCGCGTTACCGAAAATGAGCATCGCAATCGTGTCAGCCCCGTTCAATCTGAGAGTTCGAACGCTATAGACACTGATACCCGAACCTTACTCAGCCTAAGTAACATGGCCGGGGAACTGTCAAGCACCTGCGGCTTCAGGAGAGCTGTCTGCACGTGTCACAGAGAACGCGGATTTGTCGCGGGTGCCACGAATGCAAATCTGGTACTTCACATGCTCCACAGTCGCTAACCCACGAACGCAGCCTCAGCATCGGAGCTCGCGAAGGCATCCTGGATTGCAATGCTCGGTGGCACGCGCTTCTTGTCCTTCGACAACTACCATTCGCCAGCATTACAGGGATTGTTCGCACCTTGACTGGCCGTGTAAAATGCTCATCACACAGCTTCAATGTTGTCCATGGTCATTGGCCAATGTCTCATGTTTCAAGATCGTCGCATTACCGAACGGGCCGGTCGCGGGATGATCATGTCCACTAGGACAGCCCGGCAAAGAGGTAAAGCCCTCTGCAATGCTGTTTTATTGCTCCTTCAGCACCCTGTGCGACGTCGAGAGATGGTCTCGGCCACAGTCGGGCTCTGCGATCATGCGGGCAGCTAGATGGCTTTAATCTGGAGGAATATTTCTCTGAACTGTTCTACAGTGAGACTTGTTCACTGCGAGCAGCTTTCCATCCACAGCAATGCTATTCTCACCTACGATTCAGTATTACAGAGTAACAGGCCCCAGCGCATAATGCGCCTCTTCGATATGCTGCACGTTCGACATGAAGTGGGCGTGTTTCTGATGTTTCTAGCGTTTCTAGTTCTACGTCTAGGATGTTTCAAGAACGGCACCCCGGACAGCATCACCATGTCCACTCTGCTCGACATATAGTATCGCTGTGGCTCTTGGCCGGGCGCCTACTCTTGGTTCCTGAGTGAGTGTTGTGGCAGGCCACCGCCATTGACACCTTCGTCTTCTGGTTTCTTCTTGCACATGTATTTGAGATACCCCACTACTTCCTTATAATAATGTTTGCGTTTGCTTCTGAAAGGCCGGTCTGGCACCTACTGGCATGCTTTACGACCTTCTTTTTGCTTTACTCATCGGCTGCCTTTTGGTTCGGCTCACGGGGATCATTCGCTAGCGAACAATACCCAGACAGTCTCACAGCAATCTTCTCTACACAGACTATCGATGCGCTCAACCAAGACGTAAGGCTGCGTAGTGCGCTCTTATCGCTCACAGAAGCTATCGCACAATCATCCAGTGATGTTGGTGAGAGACTCCGCCTGGAAGGCCTCCAAAGCTTTGGCACCAATCTCACGGATGGTATCAAGAACGTTCGGTCGAAACAGGAGTCCGAACTGAAGAGGCGGGATTTACAAGATGACATCAGTACTACTTTTCGAGATCTGACGGGTGCTGGTGGTATAGGCGGGTTGAACCTCACGGGTGGATTGGCTGGTGTACTGGGCAGTCTAGGAGACTTGATGGTGGGCTCCCTCGGTACACCCGCTTTGTTTCTGGGTATAGGTCTAGGGTACGTAGGCGCCCATCACAATGAACAAGCTAACATTAGCAGCATGGGTACAACGACTGCTCTCAACTTGACCGACATGGAGCAAGCCAACGCGATAGCTTCAAATATCGCCACCGCCTACAACGCTTCAGCAAGTGGTGCGAATCTCGCCGCTCAGCAACTTGGAAACGGCCTATCGAGGCAAATCACCCCTTCCTTCGATAACAACAGTTTCTCTCTCGCTCCTGCGGCTTTTGCCCTGGCATCTGGCATCGGAAACGCGACTGCGGTAGGCTTTGGTCTGACAGAGCAACGTTTCGCGCCTTCATCCGATTCGAGCATTGAGGGTCTGGCTGGAAATTTCGGCCTTGGAGTTGCAATGCCGATTGTATCCAACATTGATCTTCGAGCCACTATCAAGAGCCTGGGAAACAGTTCCGGTGTCTCGAGCTTCATGCAGAATCTTCCCAAGATCGCGGCAGCAGCAGGGCTGGGCCTAGGAGAAGGCGCAAGAAACGGCTTGGGTTTGACAGCATCGCAACCATCAGGATCTGAGAATCAGAAGCGACAATCCGTGGACCCTACAGCAGACACGATAGACTTTCCGAGAACTGTAAAGCATTTTGCCAGAGGCCTTAGCCAGTCGTTCATTCAGGGCAGCAACTTCTCAAACCTCGACATTTCGTCTATGACAGCCTTCCCCAATATGACCGAGCTCCAAGCTATGCTCCGACCTATGGTCGCGGGAGCTGGTGCGGGTATAGGTATGGGGATTGCCATCGGAATGAACTTCAAGGCAGTGGATGCTCCACCAATGATCGCTAGTAACATTGACGGCGACAACGAACAAACGGCTTTGGCTGCGGAAGGCTTTACGCAAAACCTGTTCTCCAACTTGCTCATCAATGGTACCGCCATCCAGCAAGCGAAATCGTTCATCGCAAATAACCCACCTCAAGCATTGCAGAGTATCGATGGTGCGAAGGCAGCGGAAGGCTTCGCTAGAGGTACCATCGAAGGCGTTGTGAGCGCGATGTATTCTGTCGGAGGGGTCAAGAACTTGATCAGTGGCGATCTCCCGGATACTGCATACGACAATGTGCCAGTTTTGGCTCCAACACAGTTCAACGATACGTTGAACGGCTCGGCTGTTGGCTTTGCGCGAGGGCTTACCGGCAAAGCGACGATATTGGTTGCGGAGATCGTCAGAAACCTCACACAGGGCATGTCAAAGTCTGATATGGCTCCTCCGTCACGTCGAAGCATTGTCGGAGAGTTCCACGAGGATTCCAGTGTAGGTAAGGAATTGCTGCCAGCTGAGTTGTTGCATACACTGACACATCGCAGTGGCATCTAGTCCGATTGCCGCTCGTCAATCTCAAGTCGGAGCCAGCCAATTCCCTATAGCTATCGACCCCGCCACGGCGCAGAAAGGCGCACAGAAATTGGTCGATACTCTCACATGCCAGGGAATCGGCGGCATCGCGTCCGCAGCTTTCGGTGCTATGGCCGCGGCCAAAGCGAACGCTACTATGATGAACAAAGCGATGGCTCAGCTTGGTCAAACTCTCGATCCAACGGTGCTGCAGGCATTACCCCGAGGACCCTTTACAGTGTCGTCAGAAGGAAACATGTTCGAGATTGTTATTGAAAGCCAGAGTGTGAAGATCAATGGCCTGGCGCTCGTCCCATTCGCAGTCATTACGGGACTACACGTTCTGTTCGCTGGCCTCGCTTTTCTCACCTTCCTTCCATTGTACCTTGTCCTGGGCGTAGTCTGGCGATTCTCAGTCCTGACTGGCTTCCCAGTGGATGAAGCCAAGAACAGGAAATGGCGAATGGGCTTTCTGATTACTTTCGCCATTCTAGGCATCACTGGTATCGTCCTCGGAATCGTCGGTATGGGAAGCGCCAGTCATTTCCGCGACACGCATGGCATCATGGGTCTCATCTGCCTCATATTCCACTTCCCAGCAGTGGGATTCTCCATTGTTCGTCTTCGTACAGAGCTCCCACATCCCTCGCCCGCAGCATTCGCCGGCATTAAAGGCCCTATCGCGGTTGCGAAGACACCACAACG